TTCTCTTTCCAATCTCTCTCATGAGCACATGTGCCCAGTGGCAATTTTTTTTAAAAAGGATATATGTGGAGTTTCAACTGCAAAAGGGATCAGAGCCCCTAACCTCCATGTTGTTCAAGGATTGTCTACTCTATATTCCAGGAAGGATTTTAAGACAGGTGAACACCTACAGAATCCTAAGCATGTCTACAAATAGCTCTCGTTTCACCTCAAAAGACTTGTCTTTAGACGCCTTACTGCACAGACGTGTGTGGTCCTGGCCAAGAATGGGGCATCTCTGTCCTGTAGCAGTTTCACTTCCAGAGGATTCAAGGCAGCCTCAGCAGTCACTCCTGAGGTTAGCCACTGCCCACGGTGATGGCTTATGTTATAAAGAAGAGTGTCACCTTCTGTCATTACACCCATGAACAACCACAGTTTTCGATTTCTGAAGGACGTCATTGTTGGGAAACCCCTCTCTCTAGGCATCTCCACGAAGGGCCTAGAGGAGGAAGGAGACCCTGGCCAGCCCAGAGCTCAGTGCTACCCTGCACGCTCATCTGGCATGTTGTGTTCTTCCCAGAGAGGTCTCCTAGTTTTGTCTTCCTCTATTTACAGAACCTTGTTTACTTAGTAAAATAGTCCTAGGGCCTACTGTTTAGTAAGATTCCAAATAAACTATCTCATTAAAATTTCTTAACAAGGATTGCCAAGATACATGTGAACTCAATGAATGTTAAAAATTACAAACGTACCTAATCAAAACTCTTTAGAAAAAAACAAATGCTAATTGATTGGTTGGTTTGGTACAGCTGAATCAAGGGGAGACAAAATACCCATAACCTAAGTGTGTCCTCGTACTACCAGGACTCAGTGAGAAACAGGGCAGGCTCCGGCGGCCCTTAACTGGTCTCAGAATACAAATTAGAGTCTTGCTATTCCAAGTGCAGACTGAGCGCCAGCATTCTCAGTACTGTCTGGGCACATGTTAGAAACACAGGCTGTCAAACTCCACTCAAGACCCACTCACCAGAATCTGCATTTGATAAGATTCCTCCTTGATTCTTATGCACATTAAAGTTTGAGAAGTGATGGATCAGAAAACACAGATTAGGAGACCAGCAGTTAGTGTAATGGCTATGTCGCTGGACTCCCATGCAGTCACCCGCGGTTCAAGTCCCGGACCTGGTGGCCGGGCGCGTGTGTGTGCGTGTCCAAAATCCCGAGAGGAGACTAGAGGAGAAGGGATTGCGGCATGGCCATCCCCCCCCCGGGGGGGGTGGGGTGATTTCTTGCTTTCTGTGTCCCTGTTTCTCTGTCTGGTGAGCACATGTGCCCTGTAGCAAAAAAAAAAAAAAAAAAAAAAAAAAAAAAAAAAAAATAAAACAGCACACAA